CAATTCAAATAATGTTTGACTCACCTGCTGGGATGAGGGGGCATTTTGCTAACTTCATGTTGATATTTTGTCAACACAGCATCATTAAAACCTCTTTAAACTGGTTTATTTAAGCACAAGTTTAGGCTTAATTTCAGATTCTTCTATAAGAAGTGAAAAATGCATTTGTTCTTATTTTATTTGAAGACAAAGAACAACACACCGTTTTTAGTGTGAAAGAAAAACACACATCAGAACTCAGGTCTGTTCTGACCTTCATAAAGTTTGTGCCACAAACAGATCTGGTTCCTCATTAAACCCTTGCAGAAGTTATTTGAATTGTTTGTGAGTTGGAGGGAGGAGCAGCAAYGAGAGGATCTAACTTGCTGTGTGGGATATGAGGCCTGGATGTTTGAGTCAGAGTGAGTCAGATCCACTCCTGCTGAGAAGGACGGCTGCCAGAAGTGTGACTTCTCCAAGAAATATTCTCTCCATCCTTACAGGGATAACAGAGCATTAGCTTCCTCTCTTTACTTCTGCTCTGGAGTCATTCCAGACAGATATTAGTTTTTACGGTTTGCTGATAAAATTCAATTATTATTATTACATTTAATCTATTTATTAAGCCTTATTCATCAAAGGCAGATAATCATGGAGTCATTTGGTAAACTTTAGTTCAACGGTAACTTTTTCTTTTCTCCTATAAATGTCAGACTGGTGAACGAGGACAACCAGTGCTGTATTTCACTTCTAACTTGTTGAAACTCGAACCTCCTTCACAGTGGTCTCAGGTGGTCTCTCTTCTCCTCCTGTCACTCAGTTTGTGAGAAAAACCTGTACTTGCTGGATTTACAGGTTTCTACAATCCTTTAATTTTATATCCAATCTGACTTTTCAACAACTCTTATGTGAGTTCACATAAATTATATTGTAAATGTTTGCAGTCATTTCTTTTATCATTCATCAGGGTTTTAGGACCATTTGGACCCAGATTGGACAGGATGATCTTAAAAAGTAAACTTATTTGTTTATTCAGTTTATTTCATTCCCTGAGACAACGTATGTTGTGACTTGGCGCTATAAATAAACTTAAACTTCATTCATAAAAACAAAACAATCTGTGTGCAATACAATTAAAATACAAAGTAAATAATGCTGTGAATGAAAAGGGTGCAGAGTGAAAAAAAATCTGATTGTATCTGCCTCTTATTTTCAAAAACAACTTCAACAAACAAACTTTAACTAATCAAACAAAAAGGCTGACAGCAAACTTACAGCAAAACTAGAAGTCAGGAGGAAAAACTGGAAGAAAAGTCTAAAAACACAGAACTGATCATGAGGGTGGAGAAGAGCTGATGATGAACGGGAGATTACCTGCAGCTGAGAATAACGAGGGGAGAACAGGTGAAGTGGGCGTGGCAAGCTGAGTGGAAAAACAGGGAAGACTGAGACGCTAACGAACAGAGGAAAATAAACACAAACACAGAGAGGAAACTGAACTAAAGAAATGGAAGAACTGATCAGGTAAAAACAAGAATCCTTAAAAACAGGGGAAAAAAACATAAAAAAGTAAAAGAGAAACTAAACCTGACTTAAAGAGTAACTTACCCCAAAATTAACTTTTTTTAGCTGATAAACTGTCTAGAATGTGTCTAAAATGTTATATAGTACTGTTTC